AATAAGATGAACTCTGATGTATGGTCTTGTCCAAAACATTAAAACATGGCTGCTTGGGTTGCCAACTCCAGCTTGGGAACTTCCTGGAAATATGAGACAGAAATGGGAAATGAGACTTTGACGATGGGAGAGAGCTCAGCCAGGATGCAATTCCATAGAGTCTACCCACTGAATCTGCCGTTTCATCCAGGGGAACTGATCTCTGTAGTCTGGAGATTACATGTACATTCCAAGAGAAACCCAGGCCCCACCTGGAGGTTGGTTACCATAGTGCTCTAGCAACATAAGCAGAGGTCATTTCAGGAGGGATCGCGGGGGATCGCAGGTCCCCCGAGTGAGGTACGGGGGGCAGGGCACATGATGAAGCCCCGCCCCCTGCTTCCGGCTGCCCCGCTTCCGGCCCTCATTCAGCCAGGAGGAGGCAGGAGAAGAGGGAGGGTAAGTTGCTTCCTCCCTGCCTCTCCCCACCCCTGCCTGCCTGGGGCCAGGGAGGGCCTTCACAGGGCTTCCTTGCACCCCCGCCGGCCTTGCAGGTCCACCGCCGGGCCCCTCATGGAGCTGCAAGGCCGGTGGCGGCGGCCGGGACCATTGGGGGTGGGGTGTGTGGCCTTATGACACACTTCCGGTGATGTCAGGGAGTGTGGCATATGCTAATGAGTTATGCTAATGAGTTCCCCTAGCTCTTTTTCTACGAAACGACCACTGAACATAAGTAAGCAAAGCATGCAATTAAGAATGATAATTAAAAGATTATCTTCATCCAGTTCTACTGGTAGGCCAGCTTCATCTATCATTTCAAGAAAGATGGAGGAAATTCGCAAGGAAATGCTCATGAGTTATCAGAAACCACTGCTTGCCAGTGTTTACACTCAGAGACAGAAGTTTGTTTTCTTTCCGTGTGTTTGCATTCTACTTCTGTATTTTTAATGTCAGCATGAAAGAAAGAAAGACGAAGAAAAAGAGAAGAAAAGAAAAAAGAAGGCAGGAAGAGTGCTCCATCTACAGCATATTTGCTATAATGTAGGAATGATTAGATAGAGCACCACTGGTAGGATCACCTGATTAACAAATAAATTTAATTATTGACCAGTTTATGAAATGCTGACCATGGAGGGATAACAGCCTTTAAATGAAAGTAGCTCAGTATAGCCCCCTAGCCCCGAGATGGCTGGAGGAGGGTGCTGCTGATTCCCGAGTGTCTGCCAGAAGCCAGTCTGTCTGAAAAGCCTGGATGAAAGAAGAAGAGGGGATGAACATACCGCCTTCTTCAGCAGGCTCTGGGCAATTTACAACCTCAAACAGACCTCCTTCTCGAGATGGTGCCGAAGCAGCTATTCTGACCTGTCTTTCAAGGCCTAATTAGCCAGCTGGAGGGCCGGTGTCTCCTGCCCATCACCAGCAGCCGGCCAGTGTCACTTAACAATGCAGAGAATGCCCAGCTGGGACAAAAGGGACAGAAGAGCCTGTTGGAGCTTCCTGCCCACCCACCTCTCTTTTTGTTACGGTAGATTTGCAGGTGCAGTTTTTGGAAGGCCAGACTTACATCCACCGTGCCTTTGGCTCCTGCAGTCCAGACCCTGCTACTCAATGATGTGAACGGAGTGGTGGTCCAAGAAAGACAGAATGCATATTTTTCCAGATGTATGTATTTATTTATTTTATTAGATTTATTAATTGCTCAACCCCGCAAGCAGGCTCTGGGCAATTTACAACCTCAAACAGATAAAACAAATAAAATATAGTTAACATAATAAAATCGTCGCAGTATATTAATAAAACAATTCGGATGGTGATCAACCATAGGAAGAAAAGGAGGGTGCCAGTCTTAACTGTTGCTGCCCTCAACTAAAAGCCTGGTGGAATATTTCTGCCTTACAGGCCCTGTGGAATTGTATAAGATTCTGCAGGACCCTGATGTTGTTCAGCAGAGAGTTCCATCAGGTTGGGGCCAGGACCAAAAAGGCCCTGGCCCTACTCGAGGACAGCTGGACCTCCCTAGGGCCTGGGATCACCAGTAAGTTGTTATCAGCTGATCTCAGTGCTTTTTTGGGGACATATTGGAGGAGGCGGTCTTGAAGATAACGTGGGTCCCTAAACACTTAAGGCCTTAAAAGTCAACACTAATACCTTCAACCTGACTCGGTATTTCACAGGTAACCAGTGTAGCTGGCATAGCACAGGTTGTCTATGTGCTGTCCGTGTTGTTCCCGCCAGGACTTGCACTGCCGCATTCTGAACCAGTTGGAGCATCCGGGTCAGTTCAAGGGCAGGCCAGCGTAATGTTGCATGGATTACTGTGGCCAGGTCAGGGGACGACAGGAAAGGGGCCAGCAGCGATATCGCCTTGTACCAATGTTAGAGAGAATTGTTATAAAATGATGTATAGGTGGTACATGACTCCGAAAAAAATTGCAGCCTGACAGAGAACACTGGTGTTAATGGCACCTCGTCTAGGGCTGGAACCTCAGTCCCGGAACCCTCCCCCCCCCAGCCACAGAACCTCCATCTTCCCCGGATTTAGTCTCAGCCTGCTCTTCCTTAACCATCCCGCCACAGCCTCAAATCCCTCAGCCAGATGTTGCAGAGCGGTAGCCAGGTGGTCATCCAAGAGCAGATATAGCTGGGTGTCATCTGCATATTGATGACACCCAAGCCTGAAACTCTGGGCCAGCTGGGCGAGCGGGTGCATATAGATGTTAAACAACATCGGGGAGAGGACTGCCCCCATGTGAACTTAGAGGACAGCTCTCCCCCCAGTGCAACTCTCTGTCCCCGACCATGGAGAAATGAGGAAAGCCATTGCAAAGCTACCCCACGAATCCCCACGTCGGCAAGGTGGTTGGTCAAAAGGTTGTAAACAACCATGTTGAACACTGCTGTGAGGCTGAATAACAACAACAGCACTGACCTGCCCCGATCCAGTTGCCTATGGAGATTAGGGCGACCAACACTGTCTCCGTCCCATGACCCTGGCAGAAGCCAGACTGAAATGGGTCAAGTGCTGATGTGTCATCCAGGAAACTCTGGAGCTGTTCGGCTACCACTCTCTCAATCACCTTACCTAGGAATGGCAGGTTCGAAACTGGGCAGTAGTTGGCTGGATCATATGGATAAAGTGATAGTTTCTTTATGAGCAGTATAATCACAGCCCTCCTTAAGACCCTCCAGAAAGACCCCTGTTTCCAGGGATAGACTGATAATGTCCTCTCCGTTTCCAGGGATAGACTGATAATGTCCTCTAATGGGCCCCGTATCCTCTCATTGCCAGTTTTCACCAGCCATGAGGGACACAGATCCAGGGGGCATGAGGTTGGTTGAACAGATGTAACAGTTATACAGTGTAGCTCTTTGCAGAGTAATGTAAGCACAAAATGTCAGATCGTTTTGAAACTAAAAAAATAAATAAAATGGAGTTGTTCAGGAGGGCATTCTTATAATATGGAATAAAGTTATCATCAGCATCTGTGAAACCAAAGCAGTTTTCTTTACATTATTCCTTGTATACGACACTGTTGATTGCATTGTTGTCACATGATTTGCATGCATTTACTGTCATATTGTATGTACGATATTGTTTAGTGCCTTGTTCTCTACCTAATTTTGTTTGCTGTTAGTTATGTTCCTGTTGCATGGTTTAAAATTATGTAATCTTCCTGGAGTCTCAAGTGAGAAAGGTGAAAAAAGGAAAGGAAGGAAATATAAAACCGAAACTGAAGACATACTGCAGCTGTGAGTTCCTAATGATAACTCCATTTAGAAGTGCCAAAGGGACTCACTGAGATTGAGACAATGGCCCATGCAGGCCAGGGGCTCCTGCCTTCCTAGGGAATCATTATGTGCCCCATCAAGCAGCTGCACATACAAGCATTCTTTACTGTCCTCTTTACTGAGTGAAGACAACAGTGGGCAAGTAGAGAGTAATAAAGGACAAGTGCCAGCAGCTGGAATCACACATACGTTGGCTTCACTTCCATTGGGAATGCACATCCCCAAGACCTGCTTCCTGAGTTCGTTTATCTGGAGGTGCCAGGGATTGATCCTGTGACTTACTATGTGCAAGGCCACTGAATTAGACCAAAGGGTTGGAGCATCTGCTCCATGAAAGAAGGCTAAGACATTTGTGGTGTTTGAGTTTAGAATCAAAACTCTGTGTGTGTGTGTGTGTGTGTGTGTGTGTGTGTGTGTGTGTGTGAGAGAGAGAGAGAGAGAGAGAGAGAGAGAGAGAGAGAGAGAGAGAGATTGCTTTTGAAAAGATAAATGCTCAGCAGAATGGAGGCATTTTTCTCCCTTCAGTGAATATGTATTCACTGTGTGCATAATCAATTTACGGAACTCACTACAAGATATGGCACTAGCCACTAGCATATAGAGTTTTAAAATAACAGCTTAAGTGAGAGATGAGATTCATGGGCCATGATAGCTCAGTGGGGCCCCACGTTAAGGACAGAATATATTTGTCTAGATACCAGGGAAAAATAATAGAAGTCTCTTGCTTTCTTGCCCCACTTTATTAGCATCCCCAGAGAAATCTGGCTGCTGTGGTGAGAAACAAGCTGCTGGACTCCATCACCTTGTCCTGATCCAGCAAGGCTGGCCTTATATTCTTGCGTGAAGGGGTTCGAAGGGCAAGCCACAAAGATGAATAAAACTCCAACTGCAAAACTGTAAATACAGCGACAAATGGTGCCAGAACGATGCATATTTTTGTCTACTCTTCCGGCAAGCATTCTGAACAAAACAGTGGCCTCCCAGCTGCCATCTTCTCATCCATCCCCACATCTAGCTTCCCCAGTCTGCTATGGAGACCATGGCTGATTGGCACCTGGTTAGACTGTACTCAGCTGTCCCTCCCTGATATTTGACACATACACACATACACACACACCCCTCCTCCCCGCCAAGCCAAGAGCACTGCAGCCCTGGGAAAGAGAAATAAACATGTGAGGGAAGGAAGAAAGAAGGACAGGGAGCAGGGAAAGGTTCTGAGAAGTTGCAAACGGCTGTGGAGAGAGTCCAGAAGCCAGACCTTGGTGTGGACCTGGTAGAGGAAAGCTGAGCTCTCCAAGAATGGCTAGTATGAGTTCATGAAGGATATCTTGGGAAGGGATTGGGGATTTCCTATTTCATAACCTGGAAGGAACTGTGCAGATCACAGCCTGTGTGTGAAGGGATTCCATAGCTTGGACAATCCATCCTTCTGGGAGACTTGTACTCATTGCATTGGCACCATTTTGTTCCTGAGTCCTCTTCTGTCAGCTCATCAAAACAGAGACCTCAGGCCTTGTTGGCCAGCAAGGTCTTTTAAGAACTTGTGGCGTGGGAGGTATAAAGCCATTCTACTCTCATACAGTAGACTTTAAGAAAGGACCTGTCTTTGGACTGCTGGGAATATGTCAGCCTTGCTGCAAGCCACGGATGGGAACTCCGAAGGGATACAGCCAAGAGCTCTGGCAGGGACACCCAGTACTGAGAGTGGAGGTAAGGCATGAAGGAGAAGCGTGTTCTGAAATACCATGTGGCCTGGGAACTTTGTGAACCTGACCCTGAGGATGGGTGTGTCTAAAGATGTGTTCTCAAGTCCATTCGTGTAAATGAGTTACAGCATAATATACCACGGGCTGAATTTTTTTCAAAATTGTTTGAGAAAGGTACTGTTTCCCATGGCGTGTGTACACATTTGTCCTTCAGTCATTACCCAGCAAAAAGGTTTGAGTGGTTTTTGAAACCATGGGTAACCTTGCAAAATCTGTTAACCAGTAGTGAAAATTAGAAGCGTGAATATACTGCAAGTCAAAAATAAAGAGTCTAGTATTCATTCTGCCATAACTTTTTGTCAGCCAGAGCTAACTTTCATTTATTTATTTATTTTATTGTTTGTTTATTAAAATATTTATATCTCACCTTTCCTTGTGCCTCAAAGTAACTTAAAAGTTACAAATAAAACATAATTAAAAACCAATATACTAAACACCCCCAGATATCTCCTTCTCAGTGATCCCTCACTTAACTCTCTAAAGAAAATGAGCATCAAGTGAGTGTCTGCCTCCAGCCATAGCCAATTCCTCTTAGAAATAAACACTCATAAAGGTTATTTTCTGATCCATGGTAGCAAGTACAGATTGTAAAAAAATGAACCATGGTGCCTTTAAAGTAAAATTAAAAAAGAGGTGCTGGAACTCTCAAGAGGGAAATTAAGTTTTCAATCTGTATACTGAAAACTCATGAACTTTTAAAGATTTTTAAAAGGATTTTGTCGAAGAGGTTCTGGAACTCCGTTCCAGTGCATTCCCCAAGAAAAAAAGCCCTGGATTAAGTAATCATGTGGAATCAAAGAGGGTGAAACCTGTGAATCTAAAGGACAGACTACGAGATATTTTTTAACAAGTTGAGTCCAGGTTCCTGCATGTACAGCTCTGAAGTGGGACAAATAACTCCCCTAGGGGTCGTTTCAGTGCAGGAAAGTGGAGGAGGGATAAGGCAGGGACCCCCCCTCCCATACTATGTTCCTGATCCAGGTCAGGGGCCCATAGACTTTTAAAATGACATTCTCCACAGCTGCTCTGGAGGGGAGTGAGTCCCTGGACCCGACTAATTTTAAAAGTCTGTTGTAGTTTGGGCCTAAGGGAAGATAATAAAGAAGCACAGATAAGAAGGAGCAAAAGGCTATGAGCGGAATCCTCCAGACCGGTTTGTGCTGCCAGAGGCAAGTACATTTTCTAACGGAACAGATCCACAGCATCTGACCTTATGCTACAAGAAAGTTTTGCATAGGTTGACCATAGGAGAGCATTGGGTGGGCACAATTGTTGATGTGATCTACGTCACTGGGGTCAATATGACTTCTGGAATGGAGCTGGTATAATTGTTCTGTAATAAATGAGCCTAGATTTGGGAGGTGGTGCAAGGTACTTTTTTAACCGTCCAATTGATTCCTGCCATTCTCTAATGATGACAGTAGGGGGCAAAAATTGTGTCTTCAAGAGATTCTCTGCACACATGCACATAGTAACTTTATTTAAAAAAAGAAGAAGCAAGCCCCTTCCAAGCTTACAGTTTAAAATTTAGTCATATAAGAACATAAAAGAAGCCATGCTGGATCAGGCCAATGGTCCACACAGTCCAATACTCTGAGTCACACAGTGGCTAAAAACCAGGTGCCATCAGGAGGTCCACCAGCAGGGCCAGAACTCCAGAAGCCCTCCCATTGTTGCCCCCCAAGCACCAAGAATACAGAACATCACTGCCCCAGACTTAGTGTTCCATCCATACATTGTGGCTAATAGCCACTCATGGACCTCTGCTCCATGTTTATCCAGTCCCCTCTTAAAGCTGTCTATACTTGTAACCACCATCACTTCCTATGTCAGTGAATTCCATGTGTTAATTACTGTTTGGGTGAAGAAGTACTTCCTTTTCTCTGTTCTAAGCTTACTGCTCATCAATTGCATTGAGTGCCCACAAGTTCTTATGTTGTGAGAAAGGGAGAAAAGTACTTCTTTCTCTGCTTTCTCTATCCCATGCATAATTTTGTAAACCTCTATCATATCACCCCTCAGCTGTCGTTTCTCTAAACTAAAGAGCCCGAACCTTGTTAACCTTTCTTTATAGGAAAAGTGTTCCATCCCCTTAACCATTTTAGATGCCCTTTTCTGCACCTTTTCCAGTGCTATGATATCTTTTTTGAGATTCAGTGACCAGAACTGTACACAGTATTCCAAATGAGGCAGCACCGTCGATTTATACAGGGGCATTATGATACTGGCTGATTTTCCATTCCCTTCTTAATAATCCCCAGCATAGCATTTGCCTTTTTTTTTTATTGCCGTCGCACATTGGGTTGACATTTTCAGTGAGTTATCTAAGACTCCAAAATCTTTCTCCTGGTCAGTCTTCCACCGGTTTGGACCCCATCAACATGTATTTATAGTTAGAATTTTTTGCTCTAATGGACATTACTTTGCACTTGCCCCCACCACGTTGAACCTCATTTGCTACTTTGACACCCAATCACCCAGCCTGACATATTCCTCTGGAGTGCCTCACAATCCTCCCTTGTTCTCACCACCCCGAACAACTTAGTGTCATCCGCAAACTTAGCCACTTCACTGCTTACTCCCAACTCCAAACCATTAATGAAACAGGTAAAAAGCACCAGACCCAGTACCGAGCCCTACGATACCCCACTGCTTACCACCCTCGACTGTGAAAACTGCCCATGTATATTCACTCTCTGTTACCTGTTAATCACCCAGTTTTTAATCCACAAGAGGACTTATCCCCTTATCTCAACTGCTGAGTTCACTTAGGAGCCTTTGATGAGGAACTTCATCTAAAGCTTTCTGGAAGTCTAGGTAAACAACATCTAATGGGTCACCCTTGTCCACATGTTTGTTCATCTCATCAAAGAAGCCTAACAGATTAGTGAGACAAGATCTTCCCTTATAGAATCCATACTGATTCTTCCTCAATAGTTTTTGTTCATAATGTGCCTACTAATTCTATCTTTAATAATGGATTCCACCAACTTATCCGGTATTGACCTTAGACTGACCGGTCTGTAATTTCCCGCATCTCTTCTGGAACCTTTTTTTTTTTTTTAATGGGGTTATATTAGCTACCTTCCAAGTCCTCAGGAATGGAGGCAGATTTTAATGATAGATTGCATATTTTTGTCAGGAGATCTACAAGTTCTCATTTGAGTTCTTTCAGAACTCTTGGATGTATACCATCTGGGCCTGGTGATTCGTCAGTTTTTAATTTGTCCATCAGTTGTAGGCAGGGGTCATTTAGTAGAACAAGAGGTGCAGGAGTTCATTAGCATAACTCATTCGCATAACTTATTTGCATATGCCACACCCCGACATCACCAGAAGTGTGTCAGAAGGCAACACCCACCACTCAGGCTCCACTGGACTGTTTTGGATTGCTAGCTATTGGAAGGAGGGGGAACATCCAGATCTGTCCTCGCAGAGGAGGGAGAGCTTGTACCTGAATAAAACTTGGTCTTAAAGGTGCCACTGGACTGTTTGGGGCTGGGGGGCCAGGGGGAGCTTTGCAACTTACCTGGCTGCTTCTTGCTCTGACTGAGGGCTGCTGGGAGCAGGGGGTGGGGCTTGTTGCATGTGCCCGCCCCCTGAGCTCTTTACTGCCGGAGCTCCGCTCCTGTGCACTCGTGCAGGAAATGACCCCTGGTTGTAGGACCTCCTCTCTTGTCACCTCAATCTGACTCAGGTATTCCAACACCCCTCCTAAAATTGGTGGTTCTGAAATGGGTGAGCACCTCCCATCTTCCACAGGGAAAACAGAGGCAAAAATGCATTCAGCTTCTCTGCCCTTTCCCTATCATCCTTTAGTAATCCTTTTACCCCTTGGTCATCCAAAGGCCCCATTGCCTTCCTGGGTGGTTTTCTGTCACTAATGTATTTGAAGAAATATTTATTGATGGTCTTTATGTTTTATGTAGAAGTGAACTTGTGCACTTTGGGAGTTTTAGAGGTCAGAGAAACTTTGCATACGACATATAACTGCTCTCTTTCAGCCTATGCTAATTAAGGTCTACTATTGGTTCTGACCCCCCCCCCCGGGCAAGTTTGGACATCAACAAGGCCTTTTTCTGTGGGGCACCAGTATTGTAGAACAGCCTTGCTGAGGATGTGAGGCAGGCCCCTACTTGGAGGGCTTTCCAGTGCCACTGCAAGGGTGAATAATTGAAAGGGGCTTTTGGGATATTGTTAGATTAAGATTTGTTTTTAATTACTTTTGGCTTGTTTCATATTTGTTATTTATTTGTCCCCTGCTTTGTGTCTTTGGGGAGAGAGACAAGATAGATATTTTTTTTTTAGAACACAATTTTATTTTTCATGAAAATATTGACATGTCATCAGTTCCATTAATGTTTCAATTTTTACCCCCAATATCCCCACTTTACTCTCCCCCTCCCCGTGGCTTCCCGCAATGCTTCCCCCCTCGTCACTCCAGTACACCTTAAGATAACATCATATTCTAGTTTCAATATTGTTCTAAATATAATAGATTGTGCTTTACATCCCAGTTCTTTTCTAGGTAAATTTTAAAGTATCTCCATTCCTCATAGAATTCCTGATCTTCTTTGTTATTCAATTTTTTCGTAATTTTGTCCATCTCAGCCATAAACAAAGTTTTTTGTATCCATTCTTCTAACTCTGGAATTCTTTCTTGTTTCCAACATTGTGCATAGAGTATTCTCGCCGTTGTAATCAGGTACCAGAATAAAGTTCTTTTTGTAATATTCAATTCTTCCATTTTAAGTCCTAAGAGCAGAATTTCTGGTGCTTTTTTAAAGGAACATTTCAAAATTTTTTGCATTTCGCTGTGAACTCTAGTCCAAAAGTCCACAGCTTTTTCACATGTCCAAGTTAGATTTTTTTTTTAAATGAATGAATACTCTAGGACAAATCATGAAGAAAAAGTGAATAGACAAAATGTATCCCCTTCTTCCATATTGCTAGAATTCAGGGTCACACCAAGACACTGACTGGCAATAAATTCAGGACAGTCCCAAGAAAATCCTTCACACTGTGCACAATTCATAGAGAGAATCCACTCTCACTAGACGTGGGGATGGCTTGTCGAAGAATTGGACAAAATGGCAGGTGGATTGGTAGCTGTTAATCATGACAACTAAATAGAACCTCCATGTACAGAAGCAGTATGTCTCTGCATACTAGATGGGCAGGTTGTTGCCGTCAAGCCATACCTGTGAACTGCTGAACTAGGTGGATCCTTGGTCTCATTTATCCAGGCAGGTCTTACCATAGCTATGTTAAACAGAGGATCCAGCTGTTTACATTTAAGGTCTAATGAAAATATACTACGCTTGCTGTCAGGGAGGAAGATGGATAGATCTGTCAGCAGCCCAGGAACTGCCTCTTCTTTAGGCTGAAACCCAACTGCCATGTGCCATCGCTCTCCAGTCTGTGAGGGCATCTGAAGTTCCAGAGGCTCAGAACAGTGTGTCCTGGTATAGTAGACTGTTTTGCAATGTACCTCTTCGCTGTGTGAACTGATACATGTAAATATTCAGGATTAGCTGAGATTAAATGAAAGATCTTTTAAACTCCTGATTATGTCAGCTTCCGGCTACACTCATAAACACATCCAACATTTCGGGTATACTAAGCAATGGTTGTACTTTGTGCGCAAGGCCTGTGGAAAATACAGAACAGCTGGAAATTGTTCAATATATTATATTTCTACTGGGGGGTGTAGCCTTGGCAGTGTTCTGTTGCTGCTGCTGTCACCACTCCATTCTGTGAAACTGTGGCATAACTGTGCAACTGAGAGCATATGGGTACAAATTAAAGATTGGATTAATTGAAAGAGTTACATTTTAAAGGAGAAATTGCTGGGATGACATGATGAATACTGAACAATCTTAAATGAAAGGCTTATCCTTATAGCTGCTAAAACAGACATAAATTACACTTTGAAAAATGACAATTTATATTATGAATCTCAAAATGATTATTAATCCAAATTGATATCTTACTGTTTCCTTTTGTAATCTTTGATGTTTACTTTGCAACATGAGTTTGGTTCAAGTGAAGTAAGGGAAAGGCAACCAGTTTTTGCAGACCCAAACACATATACACTGTCCAAATAAATGCATTGGCCTTAAAGCTGGGAAAGTTCAGCCAAGTGATTTTCTGTTAATCGTTATGAGAAGATGACATAAAATGATTAGGCATTAATTGACATTCAAAAATCAAATTAAATCCAATTTTGTATATAAAAATGTTAGTAAAACTGCTTTCGTCCCTTTGTAAAATCTGTATTTTCCAACAGTTTTTGGATAGAACCATTTTCTCTTATCACAACTGAGACGCCACATGTTACTGTTATTCACATGAGTGACAGACTCCTGCAGCTGCACATCTGAAAACAGAGGAGTGGGGAGAATTGGCTTGAAGGATGAAAAATGTATAACTAACAGTGCCATCCTATGCAGAGTTATACCCTTCTAAGTTAATTGAAGTCAGTGGTCTTAGAAGGATGTAACTCTGCTTAGAATTGCACTGTAAATACCACATAAAATTCAGTTTGGAATGCTTAACATTCATCGTTCATTTTATTGCATATCATCAGGAAAATAAAAGGTAAGTACCTCTCTGGAACAGCACCATGGAGGACATAACATTACTAAATGCACATTACTAAATCACATGTGAGTTGCAGGTTCTCCTCTGTTCCTGCACTCAGATCAGAACCACAGTGCACACGGAGAAGAGGCTTTAGCCCTCCTCCCTGTGCCATTTCCCCAACCCGAAGAGTCTCAGGGCACTATTTTGGAAAACCCATATGTTCCCTAGTATACATGCGGGTTTCCCCAAAAGGCTCAATACCACTCTCCTGGGACTATTTCAGCCTGGGGCAGGAAGCCGGGGCAGGAAGCTTGTTGGATATTACCCCCGTCAGTGTCCATGTATCCAACCAGTCTCGGGTTGTCACAGGCTGAGATCTTAAGTTTTAAGTCAGCTGTTTTTATGAAGTATCTAGTCAGTCTCCTTACAGCATTCCAATCAGAATGATTTGGTGAATCACTGTTTCTGCATAGGATTCCAACAGCTGCAGAGATATCAGGTCTTTACACTGTGCTTAGCTAAAGAAGTTTGCCAATTGCTTCTCTGTATTGCTGGTTGCTCTCTAGCAACATTCCACCTTCAAGCTTGAGGTATGCTGGCTCAAGAGGACTACTGACTCCATGCTTTAGGCCCAGGGACTCTGCAAGGTCCATAGTCTTGTGTCTTTGGTTCAGGAGAAAATTCCCATTCTCAGTTCTTTCAATTTGTATTCCAAAGTAGTGGTTCAATGCTCCCAACTGTTTGACTTCCACCTCTTTGTTCAGGTTATCTGCAATTTCCTGAACATCTTTTTTGGTTTAGCAGCATAATGACAGTCCATTCTTACACGCCAATACATACTGATACAGTCCATCTTTAAGCTTGGCAAGTAGGCAGGTGTCTGCCTTTCCCTGTGGAATGCCTTGGCTTTGCAGAAATATAATTAATTTCTCAGTCTATGCTATGGCAGCTTGTTCCTCAGGCAAATCTCCACTGAAAAGGGCTGTCCCAATGTCCAGGTGCTGAACATGCGTTCTTCTTGCTGCTGCTATACTTAGTAATGTCCTGAAGGTGGCGTATTTGACAACAGGTGTAGGCTGTTCAATCATTTATTTGCAGTTCAAGGGTTCACACTCAGGATGCACATTTACATGCAAGGTATACTTTTCAGGTAGTACTCCCTTATTGCTCCTCTGTGACCTTCTCATAGGAGTCTCCTTCTTCTCTGGCCTAGCTTGCCCTGCCTCCCCTTCTGTTTGTGGGGCATCTTGTTGACCTGCCTGTGGACAGGTGGTCTCTGCAGGCAGCCAAATGGCCATATCTGTAAAAGAGACTCCAACCTCAGCTTCTGGAATGATTTGAACCACCTTCAAGCTTGGAGCACATTGCTTTCATCAATATGCACATTCTTTAACTCAAAATGCTTTTGGATTCATAACTCCATATCCTTTTCCACCTCTAGCATACCCAACAAGGACCCCCACTTCAGCTCTGGTGTCCAGTTCCCCCCATCTTTCCTTGGGTATATGAGCAATAACTTTGGACTCAAATGCCTTCAAATGTCTTAGGCCTGGCAGTCTCTGTTTAAAGCACAGTTCAAATGGTGTTTTTCCTGTTGCTTTGGAAGGCATTCTGTTGTATAGATAAGTTGCTGTAGTTACAGCTTCTGCTCAACAGTGGTCAGGCAGGCCACAGTGTGTTGAATGCTCCTGTTAAGACGCTCAGCAGAGCCATTTTGCTGAGGAGAGTATACCACACTTGTATTATGCTGTGCCCCCCCCAGCATCTCTGATCTTACATCTCACACTGTCTTATGGAATCTGATCTTAGAACAAAGGGAGCAGGAAGAAACCCCCCCAAAAAAATGCCTATATGAAAAGTATCAGGTAACATCACCCAACTATGAACTGAGCAATGACCAGGCTAAAGGGCACTGCATTATTGAATAGGATTTCCCCTTCTAGCGTGGGAACTTCTACTCAACATCTCATAGGTTCTAAGTTAACTAACTACAATTAGCATAGACAAACAAACAGGTTAACTCTTTCATGACACCAGGAAGTGAACTTGCAAATACCCCAACAAAACTAAAGGCTCATCTTCACATACAACACATTTGCTCAGGAATTGAGAACCCAGCCTATGTCCGTCCAACTTGCTTATTTCTATTTCCCTCCAGGAGAGACCGGTGAGATTTCTCAGTGCAAATCTTCTGACTCCAGCTGCGAGGATGAAGTGAACCTGGGTAAAAAGAAACCACGTCGGCAGAGGACTCATTTCACCAGCCAGCAGCTACAGGAACTGGAGGCCACTTTCCAACGGAATCGCTATCCAGACATGAGCACCAGGGAGGAGATTGCAGGCTGGACCAACCTGACAGAGCCCAGGATCAGGGTGAGGATCTGTGCCTGCACAGGAGGTTTACCAGGAAGGCAGTCCCTGAACTTCATTCTACCATGTTTACACTTTCAAAAGTTGAATAAGGAACTGAAGTGGCTTGAAAGACAGTTAGCCTGGCAAAGACCAGGTGTTCTCGGCTCACTTTTCTTTCTCTGCAGGAGCAGGTACTATAAAGAATACCCATGCTGCTGGACTCTGGTTAGGGATGCCAGCCTTCAAGTGGGACCTGGGGATCCCCTGGAATTACAGTCCATTTGCAGACTACAGAGATCGGCTCCCCTGGAGAAAATTGATTCTTTGTAGGGTGGCATTGTAACCCAATAAGGTTCCTGGCTTCCCCAGCCTCCACCCCCCAAATCTCCAGGAGTTTCCCAACCTGGATCTGACAACCCTACTGCCCCATGCTCTGCCGGCAGCCAGAGGACCTGGCAACCCTAACTCTGGGGGGATGGAATTCACCGTTCTATCAGGAAACACTCTGACCTCATTAATAATAATAATAATAATAATAATAATAATAATAATAATAATAATAATAATTATTAGAAGGAAACACTCTGACCTGTGATCGACCCAAGATTGCCAGGAAGGCAGTGTGCTAAAATGGGTCCTTCCAGGCACCTTGCTTTCTATCAAATGGGATGTAGAATTTACATAGCCAACCCATGTTTCAAACTGCTAGACTGCAACGAGGAATTTGCCTTGCCAGATTTATTCCACCATTATCTAATACAGCTAGGGGCCAAAACAGATGTGCCGGTGTTCATGGGTCTGCCCCATGGATGCCAACACCATTTTAGAGCTAAATTTAAAAATGCCACAAGGGCAAGGAAAGATTGCCTGGTCCCACCGCACTGCGAGCCTGGTCAGTATCAGGCCCTTGCAGCATTTTTAAATAGCCGAGTGCAGGTCTCAAATGGTGTCAGTGTTCATGGGTTGGACCCAGGGCTATTTTTGGGCAGGAACGCACAGGAATGGAGTTCCGGCTGGCTTCAGAGTTGGCCATGCCCACTACAGCCAAAACCTCTGCGTGCGTGGCTACAGAGGGAAGGCCTGGAGAGTGACCCCCCCCGCGACTGGGCTGGGGGGGCTCCGGAAGGATCGGGGAGGCATTTAAATGCCTCCCCATGCCTTCCCTGGCCTGTCCAAGGGTTGGCTTGCCCGGGCTCCCCATAGCCGCGGGGCACCTGGGTGAGCCAAAGGAAGGCAGTTTAAACTGCCTCCCCTCCCTTCCAAGGGCTGGCTTGCCTGGGCTCCCTGCAGCCAGGTGGTGCCCGGCCAAGTCAAGGGAAGGCATGGGGGTGTGGCCTTATATGCTAGTGAGCTCCACGGTCAGGGGTGTGGCCTGATATACTAATGCATTTCTGCTGTTCGGGGTGGCCTATTATGCTAATGAGTTCCTGCTGGGTTTTTTTCTACAAAATAAGCCCTGGTTGGACCCATGGACACCATAACATCTAGTTTGGCCCTAGGTTTCTTTTTTTGCAGCCACCAACAGGTTGTTAGGGCTTTAGTTGTCTGGTAATCTGTAAAGTGTTCATGGAAATTTCCAGAACAACCAATTTCAACTGTAATTTAAATAAACAAGGCACACAAAGAAATACATCCTAGGTGGGCCTTAATTCACTGGGCTGGCTATTCTAGTCCCCAAGTTCTGAGCCAAAGGCCAAAAGTCCTTTAACTTGCACCTCCAACCATGCTCAGACAAGTACTTGAAAATACAGGAGAAACCAAAGTCAGCCCATGCGGTACCTAGTAAAGAAAACAACTTTGAATAATTAAATACTTAAATTAGCTGAGGCATAGGAGAAAGAGGTTAAACACCCTCTCCTCCAGTGATCCTTGATCTTCAGTGCACCTGTTTGGAACTGCTAAACAGTTTTTACAACACCTGAAGGGAGAACATAATCTTTAGAGGCAATGGCCATCCTTCAAGCAATCACTGAACAGTTATAACTGCTGCAATATAAACAGTACAGAACACTACAGTTTATTTAGATACATACAGGGGTCATTTCGGGGGGGATCCCGGGGGATCGCAGTTCCCCCGGGTGAGATTCGGAGGGGCTGGGCACACGGTGAAGCCCCGCCCCCTGCTTCCGGTCAGGGTAAAATGGCAATTTGACGCACCCTGTAAGTGCTCACGGTGGACGGGTGTTCCTTACAGCAGTTTGGACTGTATTTTGGTCCAACACGGCTTCCCCCAGGCAGGGGGAATGACTGGCAGGCATCAAGACCCAAGAGAGAGTTGAGATTGGTGTGATCAAGTCTCGGAGGAGGCTTGTATTACACTTTGATCCCCTCTCCCGAAGCGGGCGAGCGCATTCAGGGTGTGTGGCCTCATGACATACTTCCGGTGATGTCAGGGGGTGTGGCATATGCTAATGAGTTATGCTAATGACTTCCCCTAGCTCTTTTTCTACGAAACGACCCCTGGATACATATACCCATTTTTTCCTCCTGAATGGAACCAAAAGTGGCTCACAACACCCTCCATTTTATCCTCATAACCTCATGTGGTAGGTTAAGCTAAGAGGGATGCCTGGCCCAGCATCATTCAGTGAGCTTTTATGGCAGAGTGGGGATTTGAACCTGGTCTCCCAAGACCTTGGTCCAATGCTCTAGCAACTCCATACTTTTCTCTCTCTTTCTAGGTTTGGTTTAAAAACCGTAGAGCCAAGTGGCGGAAAAAGGAGCGGCATCAGCAGACAGAACTATGCAAAGGGGCTTTTGGCTCGCCACTCAATGCCTTGTCTGGAAATTCTTACGAGGACCTCTACCCAAGCTACACCTACAATAACTGGACCCCAAAAGGGCTGCATACCACCACCCCCATCCATGGCAAGGGGTTCCAGATCTTCAACTCTATGAATCTCAATTCCTTTCCAAGCCCCACAGTCTTCTCTGCAGCTGCAGCGGCATCCATGTCTGGCATGCCATCTCTGGAAACCTTTAATAACATGACAAGTTCTCCTGGGCCTCCCGTTTCAACATATGGACCAGGTGCTCCTTCACCGTACATGTACAGGGACCCCTGCAACCCAAACCTAGCTGGTCTGAGACTCAGAGCAAAGCAGACACAGCCTCCCCTAGGCTATGGGATCCCACAAAGTCCAATTATAAGCCCCAGCTCCAGCCACTATAATCTGGACAGGCCAGTGTGATATTGTGGCCAGAAGCATGGAGGGATGAATGGATTTTTGTCTCCTTAGAACTCATTGCAGACAGATCTCGAAGATACATTTGCCACTGCAAACCCTGTGTGGAGAGTGAATGGGATTCACCAGGTGTGGACAGAAGACCTCCTTTGGCCTGCTCTGTTTTGAGGATTCATAACTTTCCTCTAAATTGCCTTGACATAGACACCTTTCAGTGAGCTGGTGCTTTCTCTAAGGCCTCAGAATCTGGGCATGGCTGAAGCCCACAAAAAGCCAATGTAATCTGGATTTAATTCAAATTACATTTGTTTGAGATGTCCTAAGTGTTTCTCTTGATTTAGCTCGGGGCCATTAAAGATGGTGGGATGGGAGGTCCGGTGCCAATTGTCTGAAGACTAAAGTAAGCCCATTCATTATGACCAAAAGAAACAAGCAGAACGACGAGGAGGAAACAACGAAGGACTGCAAAGAGCAGTGAGAGAAGGGAGCAGGTGTGACAAAGAAAAATCAAGGGCATTCCTGTCAGTTTTATCACACTATTGAGTTACATGGGATTAGGGCAATCATTTCTAAAATATGTGCCACCAGAGAGCTGTTGGTGTGCTGTGAGAAATAATGAAAAAAAATAACATTTCTTGTGATCCCAAAGTAGAGGCTGCCCGCTGCATCTCTGCTTGATATACTGCTCTGGCTTCTCTTCCTTCCAAATGCCTGTTGAGAACAGCTAACTCTGCTGTTTCTCTGCACTGGGTTTGATTGGATCAGCTAGTCACCCCTGATGCAGAAACAGAGAATCACCAGCCCTCATAGGAGACATACTCAGGTCCCTGCCACACGGCAGGGAAAACACCGGCCAAAGTGTGGCAAATTAGAGCCGCACCAAAATAGAGACGCCGCAGCGGGATCCCACGGATCCCCTTAGCCGCGGCGCTGTTGCTCCCCGGCACGATCAGATGCCGGGGAGGAAGACACAGTCGGGAGGGGGAGGCTGCTGAACTGTGCATGCCTGAGCATGCGCAGTTTGGGCTGGAGCCGGGGATGCGCCGGCGAAAGGACGCGCCGGCGATCCCACGGCCAGCTTTGATGCGGCCGTCTGGGATGAACCACCATGGTAGGTGGTTCATTTTTGCAGCGGGGTTTTGGGTGGAAGGGGTGGATCGGGGACGCAAGCACAACGCTTCCCAGATGTTGCGGTGGGATCGCGCCCGTTTGCTGCGCCCCCGATCCGTCCCTCTACCAGCCCAAAACCTCTCGTGTGACCGGGGCCTCAGACTCATGAGAAACCCAAGTCGAGGGCTGCTCCTATATTCTTATGCATTCTAAAAGAAAAGCTGTTCAGCTGTAAGAAAGAAAAAAGCAGTGTCTCCCATTTACATTCAGACAGAAGTGCTCCATAGCTGCCAGAAGCTTGGTCAATATTGGCCTAAGATAGACAGCTGCAATTAAAATAAAAGGTTTCCCCCCTCCCTGCAGTGAGCCTTCCCTCTTCCTTATGCTTATCTAGTTATCAGTCTACTCTTGCAAGAACAGTAGTAAGGAAGGCTGTACTTCTTTTGCTTTCCACCCCTGGGCAACAGTTAGTTTTACAGGTGGGCTGCTTCAAAGAGTGAGGAAGGTGGGCCAGCTTTCCTTCCTCTCAGGCTCCCAAACTGGACTGCTAGCAAGTCCTGTGACCATCACTGGCCTTCTACCCACCCACTCCTCTTGCCTCTGCCTTGTACATTGGGAGTGTTGGGGCGGAGCTGAGGTACCTCAGAGGGCTGAACCTGACTGGAAACTTTAGTTGTTGGATCTAATTATTCTATGGAAATGTAGAGGACTGTGATACAACCACCACAGGCATTTGGGGGATACCACCACCCATGACAAGTAACCCTCCTTCTTGGCCAGAGCAGTTTTAAAACTAGTGTTATCATATCAACCTCCAGATGTGGCCTGGCGATCTCCTGAAACTACAGCTGATCTCCAGACCACACAGGGCTCAGTTCCCCTGAAGGGAGTGATGGCAGCTTCAGAGGGCGGACTCTGGGGCATCACACCCACGTTGCACTCCCTCCATTTCTCAAATGCGCCCCCCCCCCCAGGAACAACCACCAGAGTCGCCTTGGTGGCCCTGATGAGGCCAGAAAGGCAGGGTATACATTTTGTAAATAAATAAATAAAATACAATAAATACCTTTCGAGGCATTTCCTAAACTGGACCTAGCAGACCTCTCCTGATGTATATATTTAGTACACTTATGGTTTAGTACATGTATATTTATATGGCCCAAAGAGGGGGGAAAGAGCATGAAGTCATGAATGAGGCCAGACCAGAAGCTGAAAGTATTATGGAGGCTCTCCGGTAAGGTGCTTGTGAGCCCCCTTCACTGAACAGCGGGGTAGGGCACACCAGCCTCTTTCCTGCAGAGGCTCACCTTCCTCCTCTGTTGGTTGGTTGGGTCCTTCAGAAACCTGAGGACCCCAGCACTTGTCGTGCTCCATGCCATGATCCGGACTTGTATCCACGATGACTTTGAAATCTTTTCCAATTTAACATTACTAACTTCAGTTCTGGCTACAAAGATGGAGCAGAGAAGGCAGCCCCCCGGTGGATTGCAGAGATGATGATGGCCCTCTAGCAACTTCTCCATTAATTTGCATGGGAAACAGAAAACCCTGTGCACACATGAAGCTAACTATCCACTGGTTTACATCACCAGGTGGATATGTGCAGACTGCCCAGAAGTAAAGGCTTTTCTTATCAAAGGTTCAACGCTAAGCAGAGTTATATCCTTCTAATGGATTTAGGAGGGTATAAACTGTATTTACTATAATGACACTGTCAGAACTGCAGATCCATTTTGAGTGGGGTGGTGCTATCATAGGAAAGGCATGGATACAGTTTTGAGAAACAGCCTAAACAAATGCTAGAAAAATTATAACAATGGAAACATATGCGAGCCTTTTCAATGTTTTACCAACTTGAGATGAAGAAAGTCCACTTTTAAACTAGACGTTTGATTATCTTTTCTGTGCGATTGCCTTGTGAGTGTTTCTGACATCCTTTCAATAAACCATTTTTTTCTATTTTACTACCTGTAGATTTGAACCCTCTAGTTTTACCAGTTCTGAACCATTAAAACAATAAAGTGTTGCAATTCTAGTCTAAATGACTAGTGTACAAAAAGTCACTACTAATAGTAAAAATGTCAGGGCTTTATATCCATTAAGACCTTCCAAAAACACTTTCTGAATGGATTCATTTGTTGATGAGCCCTTGTATGTTGCAGAAGATTATGGGATTTGTTCAAGGGTACTTACTTGCTACATGGAGAAAAGTACCCTCACTTGAACAGAGGTCAAATTCACATAGAAACTGTAAAACACAAGAAGGCTGAAATGTGATTGTAAATTAACCTTCCTGTATGGTCATCAGTTAGTCCACAAAGCTGATCCAAACCAGGGCTATTTTTGGGCAGGAACACACAGGAACAGAGTTCCGGCTGGCTCCTGAGTTGGCCACGCCCAGCAGGAACTCATTGGTATAATAGGCCACACCCAATAGCAGAAACTCATTAGGATTGGCTACATTAGGGGTGTGTGGCCTAACATGCAAAGGAGTTCCTGCTACAAAAAAAGCCCTGGGTTTTGACAACAAACAAGGTAAACAGAATAAGAAGGGAAAGGTGGGTGTGGCTGGATGACCACACTTCTGGTAACATGAGGGTGTGGCCTAATGTGCTAATGAGCTGTGTGGTCAGGGGTGTGGCCCAATATGCTAATGAGTTTTGCTATTGGGTGTGGCCTATTATGCTAATGAGTTCCTGCTGGGCTTTTAGTACAAAAAGAGCCCTGCCAAAAACATTTAGCTACTTTCCTGTTCTTCTCCCTTGGTCATTAACAGTAGGGAAAAGAGGTGGAAAACACCATTAGTACATGAATTTGGTCTCAGTGTGATATAAAACACAACCAATATTCTGCAGTTAAGGAACTGCTGATAAGCCTCAGGGGAACGGGGGTTCTGGAAACAAAGCTTGAAAACTACTGCATTAAGACATTAAAAGTAATTTCAAGATCACTCAAGCTATGTTCACCCACCCAGTATCTTTAAAAAGGTCCTCACATTAATACAAAATTATCTTTCCTCCTTGGGTCCATTCTAATATGACCACAGCTCAGGAGTCTCCAGCCTTAAAGAATTTGTGTGAACACTTCTGGAAGTTTGGAAAACAGGTAGCAGATATCACCACAAAATAGTCACCATGGAGGCTGGCACCCAAAAATGTCGGCAAGTTCAAGCCAAGCATTCTCCTATGATGAAACAGCTGTTTCCAAATTGTTGCTCCTTGTAGACACAAAGGGGATACTTCCTGGACTCCATTGAAGTACAAGTACTTCCTGCTAAGAAGGAGGAAAGCCGTGGTTGGCTTTTGGTGCCAGGAAACATATTGATGGGCACCACACTGGAGGATCACTGCTATAGATGATCAAACCAACTGTGTTGTGTGCACTAAAAACCATTGAAGTTTGGTAAGGGTTCTGTAAATGGTATGTCTGTACAGGCCCTAGTGCAGCAGCAAAATTTAACCCCCTCAATGCAGTCTAGTTTTTCCTTTACCTTACTTCAGCTATTGGGAGGGCTCTTCTCTAGCTCTAGTCTAGTGTCTTCCCTTCCCTAGATAAAGTTGTCCTTTAAGAGTGTCTGGAAGAAAACTTATGTCCTCTTTGCCCTATGCATTTGAAATAGCTGGAAAGGACAGCTGGGAAATTTAGAACAGGAGATACGTCTTTACACAGTGGGTTGCCAGATTGTAGAATTCACACCCGTGGGAGAAGCGCTTGGGTATTCTGCCTTGGAAATGTTGTACCTGTTGCAGATGTCCTTGGAATAATGAAACAGTGATTTTGAGAGCTGAATCAGGAGATTTCAGTGGGAGTCTTTCCTCCAAGACACAGAACTCCCCCCTCCCCCCAATTCAGGCCTAAGAGAGTGAATGAATTGAGTCTTAGCCAAGACAAGACAGAAGCGCTAATTAAGGTGACACAGGAATAGAAATATAACTTGCTGTCAGTGTGGCACAGCCCCGCTGCTCGTGGGCTTCTTGCTGTTGCTGGACATAAAAATGGTGGAGGAAACTGGGGTCCCTTTTATAAGTTTAGACTCAATCATCAGCTGCGGCCATTCCTAGAGAACCTAGACCGATGTTGGTATGAATCCAGCCTAAACTACTATCAAACTCTGCATGTAGGATAGCCTTGGAGATGACCCAGAAATTCTAATTGGTACAAAATGCAGCAAGGAGAGTCTTGACTGAGGTCTGCCATAATAAATATATACCACCAGTACTTCACTAGTTACCCAGAAGAAGAAGAAGAGATTGGATTTATACCCCGCCCTTCACTACCCAAGGGAGTCTCAGAGCGGCTTACAAATTCCTCTCCCTTCCCCTCCCCACAACAGACACCCTGTGAGGTAGGTGGGGCTGAGAGAACTTTGACACAAACTGCTCTTTTTCAAAGACAGCTGTGCCAGAGCTTGTGACTGACCCAAGGTCACATCAGCAGGTGCAAGTGGAGGAGTGGGGAATCAAACCCGGTTCTCCCAGGTTAGAGTCCGCACACTTAACCACTACACCAAACTGGCTCTCCGAGTACTTTACCCAGTAAAGTACTCGGTACTTTACTAGTTACCCATGACCTGAATAGCCCAGGCTAGCCCAGTCTCATCAGATCTCGGAAGCTATGCAGGGTTGGCCCTAGTATTTGGATGGGAGACCTCCAAGGAATACCAGGGTTGGGATGTAGAAGCAGGCAATGGCAAATGACCTCTGAACGTCTCTTGCCTTGAAAACCCTACAGGGTCTCCA